TTATTTATATAAGTATAGCGGATGATTTTTTTAAAAAAAATTAGTATTTATTGATTTTCAGCCCCTAAGTGACTGTGGATTATAAGATCTTACCTGGACTGATACAACCAAAGGCTTATCAAATTATCATACAAATACGATTAATATGACCAAACACAATTACAAACCCAACTGTGTTACTTTGCTTTTCAGTGATTTTTTTGTGAACAGAACAAAACCCTCAAAATTGTTTCAATGTTAGAATTTACGATTGTTGCTATTTTGAGTTATGCTTATCCAAAAATGAACATCTGTGTGAATAATTAATCAAATTTCAGCAGATGCCCTAATTTTAATCTCCAAGCTAGGCCTGTCTAACTACAATGTCAGTTAATCGTCACTATCCTTTACTAAATATGCAAAATCACGACTTTTGTTGCTCAAAATCTTTTTCACAGTCGCAACAACAATGCCTGGGAGAGAAGTTAATTGGACTGCAGAAGAAATTATTGATTGTTATATCATGCAGGGATAAACAAATTAATACTCCATGGTTATATAGTGGCTATTCTGCTGTAGTTTTATGATCAAAGTTTATTTTTCCTGACATATTCTATTCTCCAGTATGCTACTACCATGGCTTGTCATTCCTGGGCTCCCTGTTGTTATATTTAGTATATGTAATTTAAAAAATAAAAGAAAACTTTTCTTCAAATTTCAGACATTCATACAATACCCTTGTAAGTATATGTGGTCAGGATTACCAGGTAAGTTAACTTCTCATCAAGCTTAGAATACGTCTGTATGGGCAGTCAAAAACCCCTGATGTTGCCCTCTATAGACGGAAAATGCAATAATTGAATACTATTGTTTATGCAGAGTGGCGCTGTTCTTGATTTGCTATTTTTATTTACTAGTATAACAGTACTTCAGGTTTAAACTGAAATCACATTTCATCTACACATTCACAATAAGCAGTTATTTTTTCTTTTCCATTTTTGTGGTATTTGTTTCATTCTGGTGATATTTTACAATGCTAGCGAAATATTTGATTAGTTAATAGATACTTTCTAAGGTCAATGTCACAAATGACCCATTTCAGTATTTGCATTGTCAGTTTTAGCCATATGGACAACATTTATCAGGTTTAAAATTTATAAAATGTGTTTACATTCTGAATGGAAGCACTAATAAATAATTGTACCGGTATATGCCATGTTTTCTCTATTAGTAGCACACGTGCTTATGTAAATTGTGAAACTAAGTGATTTTAATGATCCAGTGCTCAGTAATGCAAAGAAAAATAAGGAAGTTTGCTTGACCAAAATAACAATATTGAAACATTTTATTCAAATTTGCTAACACGGATAGCCAAAGTATTCACATCAACATCAGCTCAAGTAATCTTTACTGTAAAGTCTGTTATTCGAATTCTAGAAAAAGACTAGGAAGTCGCATCACAAGCACCACAAGCCAGAAGTGATGGAGGAATATTATCAAAGGTGTGTTATACCGCCCTCTAGTGATTATATTTATGTATATATATATTTGCATATTGGGGGAAGGGTTGATAATATTTTAATGACAAAACCCTTTTATTGTTTGGTGACTGTGACTGGTATCCACAATTAATACAAAAGTCTTACAGTTATTACAACCAGTCCATGTTTATTCTTTGGAGGTATCAGGCTGTCCTGGCTGGCTACTTTCAATATATGCTCTATCCCACACTGTACATGTAAATATTAATGTCACATTTTTTTTTTTTTTTAAATTAAAATTTAAATAATTATGTGCATACATTTACTTTAAATGCTCGATCATTAGCTCATGTTTAGAAGTTTAATATTTAATATTTTTTTGATTCAGTATAAATTAGATTTGTTTTATGCATTACTATTGGAGGTGTGCTTCTAATTGAGCCAATACTGTATTGGTGCAACAGTGAAACCAAGTAGAATCCTTTAGTTTTGTTGTGATGATTTTTGAATTTTTCCATTCTTACATTAGTCAGACTCGCGTAATTTGCAGGGACTTGTAGGGACTGCAATGGCTTCAGATTCATCACGACTTGCTACATAAAAATTACCTGTCTTTGTCTTGTATGTGATGTCTGGTGTGTTTCTGTTTACTTCATACTCGTGTCCTTCCTCAGCATTTTGTCATGTCACACATTAAATGTTACATGATTTCTCTTCACTAATCTCTTCAATCTAAAATTACATAATTCCGATTTAATATTCTGTATTAAATTAAAAAGGATCAGTTATGTAATAATAATATAATAATATTATTGAAGAATTGATTTATTACAATAGAATAATTACAAGTAAGTTCTATGTATTCAGGAATAATAATTCAGTTCAGGACATCCATCACGCATTGATGTCATGTTGTATTCATAGTAGAGCACACCCCCCCCCCCCCCCCATTCATACTGTAGACAGCTTTCCACATTTAATAAAATAAATATAGAAATAAAGCTTTTAATGAAATGAAAATGATTTTATTTGCAGTACCCTTTCCTCTTTACCTTATGGTGCAGATGCTTACCAGATGAAAAAATGGTGAATGCGAAAGACTGCCCTCTTGTGTTATCTTGTCATATTCAATATGGTGTGTGGTTATACCTTTGATATTAGTTGATAGTAGGACTGCTTTAAGGCAGATATGACGGAAAGTGGGTCAGACAAGGTCAAGACAAGGCCCGGGAAACAATATGCTTCTTGATTCGGAACATTCAATCAGTGCATAAAAAACATGGGCAAATGCTTTTATCTGCTTTTGTCTGCAAATTGAGTTGCCATCTTGTATTTTTCAGTCTTCGACAAGCCCCCAAATGCGTTTGCCTGTATAGCGAGGTCAGGAAGTCAACCCCTCCATTGTAGCATTTCCTTGCGAGTTCCACGAGTTAGGGTCAGGTTCTTTAAAAGCCTTTTTAACATCTTGTATATGCTGGGTTCAACTTTGACTGACTCTTATCCCTGAGCTGAATTACCTACTGTATTCAATTCGATCAATATACCATATTGCCTCTGTGTTTTTTCCCTTTCCTTTTGTGCCCCTGTCCTTACGACTATGGTGCCATGTGCTGCACATAAGGACTCTCATAACAGATCAGTAATCAGTTGAAATATAAGATTTTCTTTTTTTAACATGACATTTGCTTGCCCCTAGGCCTTGTCATTTTGTCTTCATTGATTCATTGTTTATCTTGACAATGCTGCTAAGAGGTTTATTGGCAAGAACACCTTGGCAACATGTTTGTTGTCAGTCATTGTGAAACGCTCAATTATGAAATGTATTTTTCACTGACAAGCTACTTTTAGAAAATTACCATTCAGTCTCAACTTCTGGCCTTTTCATTTTATAAGTACTTTATAATGTTCCCAACGTCCATTACACTCTGTCTGATACAAGTGAACTGCATTCTGATATGAATCCCGCATATTGACGCTTCTCGTCTGTGACGCCTTTTCTTGTACAGCCTGTAAATTACTAACAACAATTCCTCCTTTTTTGCTAATTTTATCAACTAATCTTATTTGTACAGAAAGTATAATTTGTTGAGTTCGATGCCAGTTATAATTTTAGTTTGGGAAGTACCGGATACTTCACAAGAGTCTGACAGGATAGAAATTAGCTTAACACGTTACTCTTGATGTTTTGTGGTTTTTACATGTACTGGTACGTGTTGTCTCTGCCTTTTCTAGGATTACCCTTTCCCCCTTGATGTTAAACTCATGACAAATCTGTTTTAATTTATCAGTTGTGTTTTAGTTTTTTCAAATTTTCTCATCTATTCTCCAGTGCTTCCAAAATGGATCCAAATTGAAATGTAAAATGTATAAATAATATCATCAATTCATTTTATTCAGTTTTCACATTGAGTGAGTGTATAAATGTTGAATGATGAGTGCTCCATGCTTGTTTTTCTGTTCTGTACCTTCAAACAATTATGGCTGTACTTGGCTGGAGCAAGGATATCTTTCTATTTGAACAGGTTGGTGAAAAAAAATGCCTATCCCAATGAGAAGAATACAAAGATGTTCATAGTTAAATTGTATGGGGAAGTTTTTACAAACTCTTGAAGACATTTTTTCAACATTTAACTTTGTGACTTGTGGGAGTATGTAAATTATTGACTGTCTTTTAAGAGAAGAGGAATTTTTACAATTGCCTGTCCCAGGTATAATGAACCTTTTTTGTACAGGTGGACTTTATCTTGCATAAGGTATACAAAAAACATCTTCTTGAAGAAAATTCTGAATATGCTTATATACTTATTGCTTATAGCAAATGAGAATTTAACAGTCAGTAAATAGTATATACACATATTGACTAAATATGCTAAATTGAATATATTGTTTGATTTACAAACCAGTAAATTTAAAACCTTTACTTAATGAATATCCCATCAACATCAAAAGTTAAACCTATAAATATTTAGCTGTTAAATATCTGTTTATTTTTGAAAATTAAGTTGACTAAGATAAACACGAGTTTAGTGGCTGACTTGCATTCAGTAATTAAAGATGTTTGTTCTATTTGCGTCTCTGCAGTTATATTACATACACAGTTTCTGACAGTTTTCCCACAGAGAAAAGCACAAATCATGTTCCTATGTTGTTGATGTCAACTACTGCCAAGACTGACATCTTGTTTGCAATCATTATTTAGTGAATATCCAGCCAATTGTTTACTCCATCAAGTATTGCCCCATGTGACTGGATTGATGAATCACAGCACAGAATACTAAAGTATTCATGTATTTTTTGGAAACTAGAAAGTTGGATTGTTCACTATTGATGACTATCATGTAAAGTAATAATGCGTGGGGTTTAGATAATACAAGATTTACAAGGTTTATAAGATTGTCATAAGCTAAATAAATATATAACGATTTGACAAAAGTATTTTCCGGCTGAGAGGTGGGTGTTCCTCGCTTACGATCATATTGTATATGGATGAACTGTATACAGTTACTTTAGTGAATGTATTTTGATCAAACCAATGAAGAGAAGAACATGTGAAATTTATGCATGTGCTGTTGGATGACAGTTTCTATTTAAAGTTATTTGTGGACATTCAACCTTTAGGTAATTTATTGTTTCAATAATTACATAATTATTGATTTTGACACTAGTCATTAACTGAAATTGTTTGAACATAAACTGTCTGCAAAAATGGAAATTTTTAAAAAATATTTCTATCGGACACATTCAAATTTCTTCTGGGATCTAGACAATGCTTGGGTATAGTACTTGCATGTAATTTACTTAGCTGTGTAAATCAGCCTCTGTCATATTGGTGCATTGCATCACATTTTGTGTTTTTCTTAAAAGTAAAAAGACTAAAAATCTGGCCCATCATCTATCTCTGAACTCTTTATTTATTTTTCTCATCTCAACTTTTTTTCCTACTACACACTAGATATTTGAGTGGTGTATGTAAGCCTCACAAAGAACCAGTTCTGTTGCACTTAGCAGAGGAGGTAAGGGTAAAATCCAACTGATATTGCGGTAGACACGATTCATACAGCTTAGCATTTCATATATAGTGTCAGTGTATCATCCTGTTCCGTATGCCATAAAGTGACCTGCTATTTGTAACAATGAAAGAATAGAATGCCATTTATGTCTCATCCATGATACGTTAATGTACACCAGCTTATCGCAACCCTGTTCTATTGTCATCCAGGTCAGCTGTGTTGGATCAAAACGTTGTGCTTGTATGTTCTTTGTGCATGCAAGGTATAATGTGCTTCTTTTGTTTCCTAAACAATTGACATATAACACACATGGTAGGACTTTAGTTCAACAACACCCACCAAGTGCACTGATCCTTTGCCATGTGATGTGGATGATATGTAGGAGATATTATTTGAGGCTAAAACTAATCTATAGCATTGATTTGAAGTACAAAACAATGCCCAACATTCAATATTTCTTGATCCTCTACTGTCCTGTATTGTCTTTTGGAAATAAAAGGTTTTACCAATTCTCTTTTGTTCACATATTGAATGTTTTATCAGAATTGCACTGTATGAACTAGTTTTGGATTATTTTGATTCGTTGACTAAAACCTTATGTTGATATACTGCTATTTTGCATATGATTGGGATGGTATTTTATTTTTTGTTTTTTTACATATGCTTTAAAGTCTTGGGGGAGGGCTTTGTAAACAGCTTGCAAAACTTAGACTTATTTTTTTTTGGTGGGACACGTTTAATGATTTTAATAATATGAATATATGTCACAGCTAGTGGAAGAAAATAATTTCTGAATGTGTTATTGTAAAATATATATCATTATCATCTGACACTGAAAACTGTTGCAGTTCTGTATTACAACAAAATATTATAAAATTGTGTTTCAAAGTGCACATGGTGACTGCATATGATATTAGAGAATAAAAGGCCCTTTAGGTCGCTGAAAGAAACTAGGACGTCAGTCACCAAAATTGCTTCTTGATAAGGCTGTTGTGGACATTGCGCAATAAATCAAGTCTGACACAATGAAAAAAATGATGCATATTACCAGAATTTGCATGAAAATAGCGACTCAGTTACTGGAAAGCGGAAAAATTACAGACAAGGAAATTTTTGTGGCGAGGGGTAATTGCTAGTGGTAAGAGGTTAAAACCACACTGTCTTCAGGTGAAGGGGAATAAAAGATGTGGTAAATTGAAACTGGCAACTTGTTAAACTAGCTGAAAGCCTACGAAAAACATTGTACTCTCTCTTTATTACCTGAAATAACACCATTTAAGGAGGAAAGTAACGCTGGTTTCTTGACGTTTATTGGCTTTCAAAAGCAGTATCAGTGGTGATTTGGGGTTTTGCTCACTTTAAAAAAAATTGATGTCCTTGTTTGAAAAGTCTAAATTTAATCGGCAGATGTTCTCGCCAACAAAGTGCGAGTCTCGTCTGACTTGTTTGGTTCTAATTCTTTAACAAGATATTTCTGAAATTCAAATATTTTGTTGAGTATTACATTTACTCTTGATTCATTTTTCATCCAATTTTAACTTTTAAATTTTTACTTTAGCAATTTTTTTTACCAGGTTTAAAGAATACAGTAGCCAAGAATTTGTATTTTAATTTTTAGTTTTTTATACCCTAAATATGACATTCAAGAAGATCATTTCCATTTTAGCTTGATTTGTGTGAATTGTCTAGAGCAAGAGCATTTCAACATACAAAATCACTGCACTTTATGTTCTGTAAATAAAACAATTTGTTTGATTATTTGAATATACAAATCGCTTTCAAAATATAATGCAGTGTTTCTTGTCCAAGAAATGTGTTCAGTATTTTGGTATCTTGTAGTTAAATATATCGCATACCCATCTTCTCTCTACCTCTTTGTATACAAGTTGCCATTCCCCAAAATGATCAATACTGCGTATTTTATTCTTTTGGATGTTTATGAATCTTGCTTATCCATGGAACTGAAACTTTCAACATTTTTTCACCCCATGATTATCCAAACCTTTCTTTGACTATACCTTTTTCATCTAAAATGTGATGCAACTAAAGTTGTGTTATTCTGTATATATGTTTTTTCTCATTCAGTTTCCATTAGAGGTTCGCAAATGATTATTCTTGACCAAATCCATCAAGTGTAAGGCATGTTACATGTAAAAATGCGTGGAACGGGAACAGGCAATTTAGATTGTAGTAGTTTTGTTATCTAGAAGTATGTACATGTAGCATCCACAATCCTCTCAAGGGAAAACATGGTTATGAATTGATATAGTGGCAAGAGAGAATCAAAATTGACTTTCATACGCTGAAATAGAATATCACAGCCCAAAATTGAGTGCGTATTAAAGAAACATAATAGGTTATTTCTCGTTGAAATATCGCACCCGCTTCTGAATCGCTTTTGCAATGAGATACAACCACAACACGGTGATAAAGTGGCTGGATAAATAGGTCGATTCCCGGGGGTCCAAGGCTTATATCCCTAGTGCCAAAGCTCGCAGGTGAAACAATGTGAGGTATAGTACATTACAGATGAGATCAAATCGTCAAGAGGAAATTGAACATGCTAGTCAATTTTGTACAGGATACAATAGTTTTGTTATCTGATAATTTGTTTTGATTTCAGGTAGACCTGTCACATTCTCTATTAGCACGTATTGTGTTGGAGCGTCATCTCGCACATAACAAGTATGAAGGCAACAATCGTAAGTTACACCTTTTCACTTTCTCGCGACATTTGTTTGAGTTACCAGGTGAAATAGGATGCAGCTCTGTGTTGCGGATTTTTTTAGCAAAGGGATATTTTTTTATTTTTACACAAATGGTTTTAGTACTCAATCTATCATTGCATTTAAATGTGTCCAGGTTTCATCCATAACTTGTATGTAGATCAGTGTGAATAGAACTGAATAGAGTACAATAGAATATTTTTACAATACTTTGTCAACCAGGAAAATTTGATAAAATGTCAAATAAGCTCAAAATCATAAATGAAAAATGTGTCAGTGAGAGTGTCCCCCTTTCTTAGTACTACAGACCTTGACAAATCATCAAAATAGTGCCCTCTATAGTCATCAAACTGTATAAATCCTGAACCGAGACGGATTGCACCTGCTTGTAACTGTTAGTTAAAAAAACCAACATTTTATTTCATAAAAACTTTATGCATTATGTCTATGGTGTATTTTGGTTGAAAAATACATATGAATAATAATCTGAGATGTTGGTGTATGACAATATCCTCTAGTTTTTAGCTCCGCTGTCGACTTTGTCGAGCGGAGCTTATCATATGAGTGATTGTCCGTCGTCCGTCGTTGTCCGTGTCAATGTTTTACTTTTTCGACTTCTTCTTGAAAACTACAAGCCTGAATGCTTTGATACTTGGTGTATATGTACCTTGGGTAGACCTCTCTCAGATTTGTTCATTTCATGATGATATCTTCAATTCTCTAATTTTGGTGAATATTTTTGTCATTTTTGGTAAAAAGTGATATTTTCAACTTCTTGTTAAAAACCGCAAGTCCAATTGCTTTGATATTACATATATAGGTACTACATGTGGACCTCTCTCAGATTTGTTCATTTCATGATGATATCTTTAATTCTCTAATTTTGATGAATATTTTTGTAATTTTTGGTAAAAAGTGATATTTTTGACTTCTTGTTGAAAACCACAAGTCCAATTGCTTTGATATATTATACATATAGGTACTACATGTGGACCTCTATCAGATTTGTTCATTTTCTAATGTTATCTTCTGTTCTTTAATTGCCATGTGCATTGCTAACAGCGGAGCTATCTCAGCCGATAGGCTGCTTGTTTAATCTTGTTTATATTTATTTTTTGTGGAAAACAGGGACTTATGGTTTGCATGCTTATCCATTGGTGTGCTCATTATGTGTTCATCCATCCTAGTTTATGTCAGCATCCTTTGTTGGACTGATAAGTGATGGCTGGTTGGTGGCCATTTTGTATACTAGCATCTATTCTACCTGTAAAGTTGTATTGACCAAGTTGATTGAAACTTGGTACTATGACAATGACATTATAGGGATGCTGTACATGTGATTTTATTTGACAATCTGATTAAAGTTGAACAAATTACATCTGAGAGATGTATGTACCATCTGATTGAAACTCTGACTAATGGCTGGCTGCAGGATCTAGCATTGTCCTTTTTTGCATTATCAAGCTCGTTCTTCAAGATAACATATCCAACTCAAGAAATACCGGACAGGAACCACATAGCCAATGCTTGTTTATTCTCTTATGATAGTTATGCAATACGTAAATCTGTCATTAAATATTAATAATGTAATAAACTATTATCTGATTCAATTTTTACAACTTACCTCTATATTGACAAGCATGAGCATACTTAGTATTCAGAGTACGAGAATCTTGTCACAATATTTTATTGCTATTATGCATAATATACTAAAAAGTGTCTGTTTACTTTTAATCTCAGAATCTTAATAGATAAATGGAAACAGAATATAAAAAATGTAATATATTAACATATTTGATATTCAGTTTTTGCATCACATATATATAGAAGAAGTATCGGTAATGAAATTCAAAGAATTAATCAAGGGGTATAGGAATTTCCTGTTTATTTTTATTTTATTAGCTCCAAAGAGTGTTGTTTCCCAAATGATGAAAGATACATCGAAAATTGAAGATGTGGCTCTTTCATTTGAAGTGAAGCAGGTATGGTGTTTCAAATCGTTTGTAGTTAAGCCTGCACGTTCGGTATTAGAAAAAGCATGGTTATATACTAGTATGATGGTTATGACATACAATCGCGAACGTGAAGTATAAGTCTGGTCATGAGTCGTAACCATCAAGTGGTCATGATTAATCTTGTGTGTTAAACAGATGTTACAAATTGTAGGGAGTTTGGCCAATCATAGTCATTTTAAAAATAAATTGCTCAATGCATGCGATGATTACGCATACCCAGCAATAACCTAGGTTACTGCATATATCTATGTGAATTATTGAACGCTTATTGGCCAATTCATAACAGCCATGGTACATAGATAGGTCATGTTAGTTATTCATTACACTGTATATTCCTATACCAACCCAACACTGGCACATGTTATGTAATCCCTTCTGACAGTTCATTTACATAAGCGCATACTACATACTACTAAATAGATCAGATATGGTGCTCAGATAATCCAAAGGATGCAATTACAATGGAATGTCATATTTATTTTAATTGATTACATCAGCAGTTAAAGAGTTCATAAGATTTATGACATTCATTTGACAGTTTGTAATTTCATCAAATGCATGCTATATCCTTAAAATATGAAGTAATACAATATTGCGATAGTAACAAAGTGAAATAATTAGATTTTTTGTTGGGGGGGGGGGGGGGAGAGAGACTGTCCTGGGCCCACTAGAGTCAGATGCACATCTACACTTTTGAACACGGGCTATAATGGTGGTCTTATGGGATAAAATTCTTTATTCTTATTACTCTGGTGTTCATAAAAAAAATGACTTGACTAGGATTTATCCCTATTCCTTGGTGCATTCAGCACTGTCTCTATTTGTTCTGGCATTGTCTGCATGGTAGCGTGTGTATTCTTGAAGAATATATATACCGATGCTACGTATCTCAGCATCCAGCTATTGGTTCTCTGATAAACACTTGAAAAAAAAAGGAATTGAAAATGGAAAAACCACAGTATGTAGACGAGGACATCATCAATCTCTATCCATCATATGGATGTAGATTATTGTGACACCTTCCTCACTCCGCTCAGAAATGTATTGGATCTGCAGCTGAGATTAAATTAAGAAGCACAGCCATTCTAACAGTTTGCACATGCTAGTTCATTAGACCATAAAGAACGTTTTGCTGTAGCTGAGTATTCTCAGTGTCTAGGTCAGTGTCTACATCAGAGTTCATTACCAATATTAGTACTGTTCTTTAGTAACTAAGGCGTGAATTGACTATAGCTGTGGTAAAAATCAACCATACTTTGTTCCAGATTTCAAATCCACAACTAGACTTAAATTACTGCTCAACTTTTCCCTGGGATTTTTTTTTCATTCTATATAGTAAAATATTGAAATAACAGCGGTCGTAATTTTAGACTCAAATTTGTTTATAATTGCTCTCAGCGAAATTGATTCAGCTGCATCTGTGTGTTTTATAAGGCATTTAAAGCAGTGTTTATACCTTGAAGCAATTTGGCAATAAATCATCATGTTTTAATTGTAAATGGCTTGTACAAGCTCTAGCGGATTTTGTTTTTACTATCTTACTACATGCTATTTCTATTTGGCTTATCAAGGCTTACAAGTACGCAGACTTCCTAATTTTGCTGTGGATTACTGGTGAGATTAGTTTTGTTAAATTTTGTGATGTTATGTACATTAGAAGTAAGTGGCTTGGCATAATTTCACATGGTTGAATAATTTATGCAGTTCAGAGTTTGATTGCATCGATGTGGCTCGTATGTTTTATGACATGTACGTTTCTTTCGATATTTATAGTAATTGTGACTAGCACTTCGGCATGCTGGAATAGTCATTGATATCAGCTGCTGGAAAAATCATTGGTCCAGTTAGGGTTATGTTATGTATATATATATTTTGTCTTGCTCCCAACAAAGTCTGGGCTTAAGTTTTACATTCAGTGTGTTTGTATGTATGTTTGTTTGTGCATTGACCTCTTCATTTTCTCCAAAAATTCACACTAAACTTAGTATGTAGTTAGTACAATTTTTATATCTAATTTATATTGGCTGACTGGCAGTCATATTGTTCCCAAAAATGATTTCTCTGATATTACTTTGAATATTTAGTAACATCTTGTCAGTTATTTGTAATAATATGATTGAAACTGATATACTGGTAACTATTTTGATGTCACTAATTCTTAATTTGATCAATTCTTCTTATGCAGTGTAATCACTATATAAAGTTTATTTAAACTTGCAACAGTGACAGTGTGCATTTTATGATAGTAGATTTTGAAAGAAAAGCTGCTTTCCCCATTCTTTTTGGGTATATTGTTACAACTGCTCTAATCTCAAAAGAACATTAACAGAGTCTTCTAAACTTTGGTTCACAAAGATTGTGTTGTTATACCATAGACTAGTATTATGCACAGGATAAAAATTAATTTGTTGATCTGTAATCCAAAATGGCTGACAGGTGGCCAATTTAGTTGACAGAATTCAATTTTTATTTGCATATTCTGGTCATATATCAAAAGCACATTGATTGAGTTTCTTAACATTTTCAGGTTGTTCATACTGTAAAAGTACTATATTTTCACTTGGAATTTATTTTCGCTGTCTTTAAATCAAATCAAGCTAAAATAAAATATGAACTATGGTGCTTTGATGTTCAACTTTCATCTGGGTTGTTCATTGTCTTATTGGTTGTGTTGCCTAAAACTGCACATACTCACTCAGTGAAGGATTTAATAAAAAAAAATGGTTGGTGCTGCCATGATTCTTGGGCAATAAAGTAAAAATTCCAATTTACGAGTGTACTGACGAGTAGAAATGTACATTGATCAGACAGCCTGTCTACTTATCTTTTTTAATATCGGCCAATGTGTTTTCAGCTTCAATTGATTTTAGTCCAGGAGAGAAAAAAACCGAAGTAATCCCAAGATTCTTTGCAGGAATCTTTATCACCGTAATAAAATTATTGCACAATGGAAAGGATATT